GAAAACGAGTAAAATATGTAATAAATGATTTGAAAATTAAATATTAGATAAATTTTTATTGAAATATTTTTAAAAATCCATTTTTATTCATAGATATTAATGGTTTCCTCTCATAGAATATCAATAGATATATTGAGAGCCAATTCTTGAGTGATTCTGTGGTCCGGAAGGAATGCCCGCATTTGACAAATCGAGAGTATTATCATGGAATCGATGGTCCGAATCATTGATTCTGTTCCCAAAATGACACGGATTTGGATTGTCTTATCGTTTTATTTTTGCATAAATCCAAACATTTATTTAATCGGATTTGTAAGATGTAATCAAATGAACAGTTCATGTAATCGATCATCAAATTACACAAAAATATGGCCTTTTTATGCGTTTATGCTTTGGTTTCGCATCTGATTCTGTGACTTATCAGCCGTTGTCTCTCAGTCTTCGCAATCAATATATCATTCATTATATCAAAAGCAAAATCAATTCATTTATAGTTATTATTTGTTCAACGGATCAGTCGTTCCCAAAACATTATACAATATATATTCTGTGAGCAAAACTTAATATATATTTAGTTAAATATCAAACATTCATCTCATTTCTAAACATAGAGTGGTTTGTCTCTACAATAATGATGTGATGCCTCACAGAACCCGAGTTCGCCATCCATTTAACTATTGGTATCTCCTATTAATCACAGCATTGTATTGAATACTTCAAGTGAACGCGTTATTGTCTCATCCTATCCATCCATTCAAACAAACAATACACACAATAATTATTTGATTCTTTGATTTTAATATAATTTGATGGAAACCAATAAAACGGAACTCACTTTAAGACAAGAGTCAAGGAATTGATCGACTGTTACAAATCCATCCTTATTGAGGTCCAGTTTCTGTCATAATATCAATACAATTACATTTCAATTACAAACACAAACTTTTAAGCCATTCATTCAATAGTGGCCATACAATCAAGCTTTCATATTGTTAGATAAATGCAATACAAATTAAACGAGAATTTAAGCCAAAGAAAACACTAAAAACTAAACGAAAAGAAATAAATTAAAATAAAGTCATCAAATGATGAGACTTCAGAGCAATGAATGAATGGTTCAGTACTTGAAACACTCTCTCGACGTGATCTCTAGATGTGTTTTCTTCAATCATGGGCTCCACTGACTTTCCCATCAAATCATAAATGGCTGAAATAATACGCGACAACTCGTCTTTGGTAATCATTCCGTCGTTATTAATATCGTAGAGACTGAAAGTCCAGCGAAGTTTGTCCTGAACCGTACCCCTGGCCAATACTGACAGTCCTATCACAAAGTCCTGATAGATAATGAAAAGGCAATCAATTGGATGCAAAGGATGGTATGAATAATGGATGCGGACTAACAGTGAAAGTGATGGCACCAGTTTTATCAGGGTCAAAAGTATTGAACACATAGTGAGCGTATTGGTTAGTGTCAGCACCTTTCGGGAAGAATTGTGCATAAATTAGTTTGAATGTGTCCTCCCGTACAACACCACTGGGCGCCTCCTGTAATACAATTCAAATCATGAATATATTAAATTACATTTTCAGTGAAATATTAATATTTCAAAATCAATACAATAGTTGATCGTAAAATGGGAGGGAATCAAGATCTTATACAATTGTCTATAGTTACCACAAATACTTAGGAAGTGCCTCAAACACCTCCATGTTCACAATGCCTTCTCCCTATACATTCTCCCTATATTTGCTTGAATTAGCATTTAATCGATTTATTTTTAAAATCAATTCATTTTAATTGATTAATGAATTTCATACTAAACGCTATAATGCTTTCAAAAACACAAACGGAATAGAAATCGCATAAAACTGAAGGGTTTTTGTAGTTTAAAATTTTGGTCATGTTTTCGATTTTCAGATTGTTTTTTGCAGTGAATTTATAATTATTATTTGCATTTCTATTGAAAAATATTTTTTATCTGTAAACTAAACCATAAAAAGGAATATAAATTTCAATTTATTCTTCACTCACTTCTAGAATATTTTTCCCTATTATTGGAAAAGAGTATTAAATTTCTAAACCTAAAGACTTGAGATGTATTAACATTAAAATGATATCCATTTTACTCTTTTAATATAAGTCTTAAGATTCCAAGACTTTAAGAATATAACGTTTAAATTATTTTATGCGTTAAGACTTTTGCGATTATTTTGTTGAAATAAAATTCATTGTAAAACAAAACATTATTATTATTGTATAATATATTTCTTATGTGTATTGCTTTTGTCAATGTATTGGAATATATAAGTTATGCAAACGATTGCCATAAAAATAATTT